TGGACTGGACTGTACTGGAGTGGACTGGACTGTACTGTACTGTACTGTACTGTAGTGGACGGGACTGTACTGGACTGTACTGAACTGTACTGTACTGTACTGTAGTGGACTGTACTGTACTGGACTGTACTGTACTGTACTGTAGTGGACTGGACTGTACTGGACTGTACTGTACTGTACTGTACTGTACTGTACTGTACTGTAGTGGACGGGACTGTACTGGACTGTACTGAACTGTACTGTACTGTACTGTAGTGGACGGGACTGTACTGGACTGTACTGAACTGTACTGTACTGTACTGTAGTGGACGGGACTGTACTGGACTGTACTGAACTGTACTGTACTGTCCTGTACTGTACTGTGTCATATTCAGTGTGCACTCTGTCCTACAGGACTGGGCGGTGGATTTGGCTACATCGTGGGGGGCATCAACTGGGACCAGACAAAGTTCGGGAGGTCAATGGGGGGTCAGCTGAGGGTCATATACATGTTTACCAGTGTGACCTTGGTCTTCGCCACAGCCATGACTCTGGTCAGTATCCCAGAACGACCCATACCAAAGAGTCAGACAAACAAGAACGCCAGCAAAAACCATCTGAAAAGCCCCAGCCTCCCCCTTCCTCTCTCCCCCCCTGTCGCCCCTGGATCAAACCTGGGGCTGGATGAAGAAGACGATGACGGCCTTTACAGCTATAACTTCTCTAAATCCCACCCAGCCGACCCTCTGGCCCATTCCTGCAGCGCCAGTGCGTGCCTGTGTGCCGGCCTCAGCAGCCCCATCTCCCCCCTGAGCCCTTTGACCCCTAAGTACGGCAGCTTTATAAGCAGAGACAGCTCCCTGACAGGCATCAATGAGTTCGCCTCCTCCTTAGGAACCTCGTACATAGACAGTGTTCTCATAGACTGCTACACCGGTCAGCAGAGCCCACAGGCCCCGGTGCCAAACTCCACCACTGGTGCCCTACCACCAGGGGACTCTCCTCTGCCTGAGGGGACGGGGAACCATCCTGTAGTGGAGGTTCAGGCTGATGTGGTGGCTCCCCCTGCTGGTGAAGATGGGGATGCAGGAGCGTCACAGCCAGAGGGAGAGACACGAACTCACGAAGCCTCTCAGGTCACACCAGGAACTGCAGGATCACAGCGAGGCTCCGCAGCTGGCATCCTGAAGAGACCCCAAAGTCTGGCCCTGATGGAGGAACCCACGGCAGCACAGGTGGTTGGTCTGGAGAACGGACGCAGGAGAACCGTCACCTTCAGCCAGCAGGTGCCTCGTGGTTTAAAAATGTCCAGATGTGTTGAGTGAGTGTCCACGGCCGCATGTCCAACGCTCTTCTTTTATTGTCCAACTAAAGGTCGCAAACATTCTGCTCAACGGCGTGCGCTACGAGAGCGACCTGAGTGAGAACGTGGAGACGGGAGAATCCCAGATGTCCATGAAGCTTCTGTGTATCGCCATCTACAGGATGCCTCCTTCCCTGCGGAGTTTATGCACTAATCATTTTTTGGGTGAGAAAAAAAATCATTTCCATTTAAATTCAGAGTTGTCAGAATCAGCAGGGTTTCCCACAGCGCCCTCTCCTGTATGCTCCCTCTGCTGCAGGCTGGCTGTCCTTCGAAGGCATGCTGCTCTTCTACACGGATTTCATGGGGGAGGTTGTGTTCAAAGGAGACCCCAAAGCCCCCCATGACTCTGAGGCCTATCAGCGTTACAATGCTGGGGTCAGCATGGGCTGCTGGGGCATGTGCATCTATGCATTCAGTGCTGCGTTCTACTCAGGTAAAGCGTTCGACTGGGCGCTGGTTTCCTTCTCAGCGGTGGTTCTAACGTCGTGTCTTTCCTCTGTTTCCTCCTCACGTCCAGCCATACTGGAGAAGCTGGAGGAGCGCTTCTCTCTCCGCACTCTCTATTTTTTTGCCTACCTGGCGTTTGGTCTGGGCACAGGTCTGGCCACGCTGTCCACCAACCTCTACGTGGTGCTGTCCCTCTGCGTCACCTACGGGGTGCTGTTCTCCTCTCTGTGCACGCTGCCTTACTCTCTGCTCTGTGAATACTACCAGAGCCCCCAGGTGAGACCCTAACCCAGACCACAGACCACAGACCACAGACCACAGCCGGGGGGAGAACAGACATTTGAAATATTAATCGACTACAAACGTGACACTTGACCTGAAGCGTGATGACCAGCGATGTCCGATGTTAACTGTTTGCCGATATTGTCCAAACTGATACCATGGGATGTCCCTAGTTTTCAGACTGATCCAGCGTTTTTCGTTTTCCTTCCTCAGTTTTGTGGCTCCTCAGAAGAAGGGACCAGGCGAGGGATGGGGGTGGACATCTCTCTGCTCAGCTGCCAGTACTTCCTGGCTCAGATCCTGGTCTCGGTGGCCATGGGACCTTTGACCTCACTGGTGGGCGGGGCCCAGGGAGTGATGTACTTTGCCAGCCTGATGTCTTTCGTGGGCTGCCTGTACTCCTCTCTCTGCGTGGTCTACCATCTGCCCCCACCTGAGGGTGAGCCCCCTGATAGCGAGACCCAGCCACTGTTGGTGCACATTTAGCAAAGAAAAAGTCTCATCATTTCCTTCATCTCATATTTGCTCACAGCATGCACACACACACACACACACACACACACACACTAAACAGAAAGTGCTGTCACTTAGTGCCTGAGTGTATTGACACCCCCCCCTCTCCCCCCCCAGCACTGACGGGACAAACGCTCCGACACATCCTGCCGCACACTGTACTGCACAACCATAGGTGTCACTGTAGGCTCCTCTCAGAGCCAGGCAGCCATTGGCCACTGCTCCAAACACATGACCGGTGTGTGTTCATACAGTGTGTGTGCTCATGCATTACTCTTTGTATTAAACAGCTTGAATGTGTGTGTGTGTGTGTGTGTGTGTGTGTCTTTGTTTGTGGCCTCATCATGTCTTCCTCATGTTTGACACAGAGAAGCTCATCACCACATCTTCAGTTGTAACGTTGTGCATGAGCTGTCGTGTGGTTGGTCCACCACCGTGTCGTCGTTGTTGTTTCTTTGGTCAAACGGCGAGGATTCCTGTCGACCTGCCTGTTTCTCTGAGATCTGTAAACGGTTCTTAGTTCATTTGAGTCCAGACACCAAACACCAAGCTGACCAGTACCAGTGCAGATTTCCTTTAGCGCTTTAAGGTCTTCACACTGTTTCATTGCAATTGAGAACAGACACATTTGTCCAACATCCAGTGGTGGTGGAAGCTAACGCAGCTCCTCCAGTGGAGGTGGAAGCTAACGCAGCTCCTCCAGTGGTGGTGGAAGCTAACGCAGCTCCTCATTCACAGACAGTCAAGACGACACACATAGACACATCTTTACAAAACCTTCCAAATCACAGAGAAATGTGTACTGGTGGCAAAATCTGTCTGGAGCCTCACTAAGCCATGGGCAGCTCAGCGAGCGCCCGCTCTCCTGCGGCCGTGCCATTGTTATAATGACAGTCATTCTTGTCATTATCAGGAAGAGGAGAAGTTGAAACTGGGGTGTGAATCAGCAAATGGAACAAAACAGAAGAACAGGAAACTGAGAGAAGATTCATGTGAACTGTGGGTAACCCCCCCCCCACGCCCCCCCGGCTGGACCACAGGGGAGGAAGAGCCGGAGGGGGGGGTTAGTAGAACCAGCACCAAATACTGAGGTCGTCAGGGCGCCTGTCTAAGGCGGTCTCTGTCAATGCTGACATCACGTGACCAGATGAACTCCTTTACCGCTTTGACCTTTTTATTGTGACGTTGGCGGTCTCGTCATGGAGTGCTCCACCTCCACGGTGCTGGACTTACCTGCTGACTCAGCAGGATAACTGGACTGACGTGCTAATGTTTCTGAGGAAACTGCTAATTCTATTAACCATGCTGTTGCAGCTTGCTTGCAAAAAAAACCAAAAAAAACAAGAATATATAATCCCACCTTCTGCTCAGTATTAGCAGTGGTACTGTTAAAGCTTTTATTCAGGGTTCATTCAAAAACTAAAGTCATTTTTTTTGCCACTTTAGACTCTGTTTTCATTGCTACTTGCAGTATTTGACACTACAGTCATTATACCACACGGGGGAGCTGTAGGACACAGGATCGCTTCCCATTAATCTTGTCTTACTCTTTTCCATTACCAAGTGAGACTATTCCTGTAGCTTTCCATGTTATGAAAAATGAGGTCAGATGACGTCATCCACCCACAACCGCGGTCTGAAATGGCACCGCGATGTCAGTAACGGAGCACACACTCAGTCAACTTAAGTAAAAAGACAATTTATTTGTTTATCAGAATATACAAAGCAGTGGCTGGAGTAACCGGATGTCATTCTGGTTCTGAAGAGGGGGTCTTGGACACAAAAACCGGGCCACTCCGCCATAACAGAACTCATCGTAAACATAAAAAAAAAAAAACTAAACAAAACACCACAAAGTATAAATGGTACAGACCTGCGTGGAATGCATACAAGAACAAATGACCAAAGCTTTAAGGTTTAAGAGGGGTTAATTAACGTTTCCAAAACCCTGGCTCGGTGAAAGAGTCTAACACCTTTATGATGGAGGCCCCGCACCCCGTTTACACCATCTGTTATGCTAATGGGCAGCTACGCCAAGAATTAACAACAAAGCTCAGCAAAAAAAATTAGCCTCAACCAAAAAGCAGACAACTGTCTATTAGCCCCTGCTTAAAACTTATCTTTGGTCCTTATGGTGAATCTGAGAGGTCAACGTGAGGTCAACCGTTGAGGTCAGCAGCTGCCGGTGTGAATGAATCATCTGGTCAGCACCAACGTAGAGGCTGTGCTTCTAACATTAACGTGATATAAAACCTTACAAAAGAAAACAGATCTCTTACTGTGGCCCAAATTGTACAGGTAGAAAAAAAAAGCTCATTTTAAAGACCAATAAATAATATTTCATAAAAAAGGATGCAGGGCCACTATGTTTCAGGACTCCAGTGCAGTGTGATAGCATGGCAACAAAAAAAACCTCTCAAGGACAAAAAAGCACAAGCTCTACAGAATGATGTTGACCAGGCGGTAAGACAGAGCTGCAAACAGGCCGAGCACAGGCTCAGGCCTCCACCACTTCTGTCTCTTTAGAGTCTCCATTCTCCTCCGTCTTCTGTTTCTTCACGTCCACTTTCTCCTGTTCAAGACAGAGTCAAGGTTCAGGTTCAGTCTAGACCAGTCACACCACAACAGAACTGGGAATCAGAGGCAAAAAAACAAACAAACAATGTAAAGCAGTTCACACACCTCCTCCTCCTCCTCCTCCTCAGCCGCACGCTTCTCAGGCTGTGCATCAGTCTCCTCAGCAGGGGGCGCCTCCTCTGCTTTATCTGTAAGTAAAGAGTTGTCACCTTCATAAACTGTATCTTTAATATTAATCTGGAGAAATTTGGAGAAATGTGGAATTGGACAAAAAACTTATCTTTAATATTAATCTGGAGAAATGTGGAATTGGACAAAAAACAACATGAAGTCACAAAAGAACGTTGCTGCTACACAGGAAATGACGGCGCGCACACGCACACACACACACACACACAGAGTTAATGGTGGTTTGGAATATTTGTACTTGACATAAAATGATCAACATACCATCTCCATTCTTCTGTTCCTCCTCTGCTGCCTCTTCCACTTTGTCGCTGTGATCTGCACCGTTCTGAACAAAGAGCGATGATTGTCAGTCCAGACCAGCGCTGGTTTAAAAGGACATCCACATTCAAATCACAACATAGCTGAAATAATCCTCCCACAACCTCACGTCGACACAATCCCCAGGGGAGGCTCTGAATGAGGCAGTTGTGTGAGGCTCTCATTACCTCCCCTGAGGATTAGCCACCACTCTCTCTGGGAAACCTCAAAGAAAAAAAAAAAAAAACCAGGGAGGCGTCCAAAGGCTCGGCTGTCTGCCTGCTCTGACTGACTAACATCTGTGCCACTTCCACAACCCAAACAAAGCTCAGAGAGCAGAGCAGAGCAGAGCAGAGCAGCTGAACAGAAGGGGAGGGCGGTGCAGCGACACCTGCATGATGACGGCTGCAAAGACAAAAGGCCATGAGGCTGAGCTCTTTAACTCACTGTGCCGTTGGCAGGTGCGCTGTCCCCGTTCTCGGTCTTCTCCTCCTTCTCCTTCTCCACTTCTACTTCTTTCTTCTCCTTCAGCTCCTACAAAATAAAAGCACGTTAGACGACTAATGACTTTATTCACAAAGAACTGCGTTAACATTATGTGGAGTACATTTGCATTTGAGGAATTTAGTTAAAAATATTTAAAAACCGGCTGAACATCGTGGCGAGGGTGTAATTATTACATGTTGAAGTCAGTATTAATGAAGAATCACAGCAGAACGTGTACGTTTGTCGTAGCTCTGACTTCCCGCCCACCAGTTGTAGCGTCTCTACCGCTTTGTCTGCTCATCGACTTCATTTTTTTTGGACAAACCGCGCCACAAATACAGACAATTTTACAAACATGCAAGATATTCGAACGCAATATTTAACGCAATTTCGACAGGAATATATTTTTTTTAAAGTCAATTCGTTAAAAAAAACATTTTCCTCCAGTTACAATTGTACTTAGTCAAAGTAATGCGGACATTAACCTTCGCTGCAAAACTCACTGAAATAAACATGAGCTTAGTTTGACTTAGTGATAATACAAACAAATGTTTGAAACACTTTAAAAGTTCCACAAATCTATCAGTTCCACAGACAGTACCCAGAACATAATCAACACACCTTGGTTGTAACCTCAGAGGTAGCGGTCGTGTCAACAGCTGTGTCGGCCATTATAGGTGTTTTGAGGAATTAAGGCAATAATAATATTAATAAATCTGTTAGTGAAATAAATATTTTTGTTAATAATTAAGCTCGTTGCTCCGCGTGTATAATCCACAGACGCCAAGGGAGAAATGATGTCTGCCGGACTCGGCTTTTCTCTCGACCTCGTTGGAAGTCGGCTCTGGTTGCGTACAGTGCGTCGATCACGAACGCCATTGGACAAACTCGACCAGAGCCGTGTTCTATTGGATGACTGGCAGGTCCATCTCCACCATATGTCCCACCCTCTCGCTGTTCCTCCGTTGATTGGTCAATTGTTTTTTAACCGCTGTGCTCTGTTCTTTCTACCCAAATATCCATCACTTGGGTTTAAGCTGCATTTTAAACAATGAACTGAAGAAACGTCCTGTTGTTGAAGGTTTAAAATCGATGGGGCTGAAAATAAATTACTTTTTAATGACGGGTTCAATCATTTTTTTTAATCAACACGGGTGCACAGATTTTTGATTCTTTTGTCTGAGCTCCCTTTCTTAGTACAGATGCGGTGTCAAATTACAAAAAAGACGTGGTGAGCTCGAGGCCACGCCTACTTTCTAAATTTAACTCCTGTAACGAATTGTGCTTGTTTTACTTTCAACTGTATCGAGTTGAAAGTAAAACGAGTATTTAGACACATCGAAACAATTGTAATTACACAAATGGAACTCAAACTCTGAAATCTCTGCCATGACGTCAGTTCATTCACAGATGAACAAAGATAAACTGTAAAGTAAAGCAAACTCTTTACTTTTTAAGAGGAAGTTTATGGTGTTTGTTTGTCAGTAGAGACAGTTCCGTTCGTATTCGAACACGTTGTCAATCATTTACAGACAACTGGTAAATGTCTATCTGTAAATGAAGTAGTTAAAGAACCCCCTGTAGGTGGCAGTAATACAACAAATGACATAAGGAGTTACTAATGGAGCACAAAGAAGGAAAACCAGAACTGGACTAACCTGAGAGGAGAATTAAAATAAAAAAAAGTCATGAATCTGTTTGATCCATGGAGGTTCTGTATGTTCTCAGGTTCTCCTCCATTATCTGCAGGTCCTCTGGTTCTCTGGTTCTCTGGTTCTCTAGTTCTCTGGTCCTCTGGTCCTCTGGTTCTCTGGTCCTTTGGTTCTCTGGTTCTCTGGTTCTCTAGTTCTCTGGTCCTCTGGTCCTCTGGTTCTCTGGTTCTCTGGTCCTCTGGTTCTCTGGTCCTTTGGTTCTCTGGTTCTCTGGTTCTCTAGTTCTCTGGTCCTCTGGTCCTCTGGTCCTCTGGTTCTCTGGTCCTCCGGTCCTCTGGTTCTCTGGTTCTCTGGTTTTTTCAGGTTTAACTACATATTCTTTTGTTGGATTCTGATCTCCTGTCTCTGCCGTCGAACTCTGCTTTAAGATAATGTAGTAATAAATTAAACACTATTGTATTTGTACTACAGAGTATTTATACTACAGAGTATTTGGTTGATGTCTGTGTATATTCAGGTATTATTTTGCAGTTTTTCTTCCCCTCTGGTGAACTCTCTCTCTCTCTGTTTCTCCTTCATTGACTGTTAAACCACAGGAAGTGACACTTCTCTGCTCTTGCGGTCTCTGAGACCCCAACACTAGTCCTGCACATGGTCCGGTCACATGGTTAGAGTTCATCACAGATCAATGAATCAACACACTCTCAATACTCTGATCTAAAGTACACACACGGCTCTAACGTTGGTACTTCACCAGCCTCTGACTGACTGGTAGGAACCAACGCTGTCCAGCAGGGGGAGTCGGGGGAGGGTCAGTGCTGTTGTCACACTGGAAGAAGAAGAAGAAGAAAAACTAATACCTGCCTCATCTTTATCTTCCATTACTTCTCATCAACGTTGTCGTGTCTCCTGTGGCTGGTTCTCTCAGGATGTGGACCCTGGTCCCTGACCCTGGTCCTTGACCCTGGTCCCTGACCCTGGTCCCTGACCCTGGTCCCTGACCCTGTGTGGACCATGTCCAGACCCAAAGAAGGCATCACACACTTTTTTCTGTAGCTGGAAAATGGGAGCAGTGAGATGGACGGGTCAAGTGAGATCATTTCCTGTGACTTTTTTCCTACGCCTGCCTCGTTCAGCGTCTGCACCGATCCGTTCCAGGAGAACATGGCTGCCAGGGAAAATGTTGGGAATGAGATTCAATTTTCATCAAATCCATTCATGGAACTTTCTGGAAAACTGTCTCTTTAATTACAGCCTTGGTTTTTAAAACCACATCAAATAAAAGTGTCTTTGTGTTGGAGAGGAAATCAAAAGTCTGTGAGGAAACTTCTCAGTAACTGCTGCTCCTCCAGGTCGCAGGACACGCAGGAGAAGAAACAGAAGGAGGTGCAGACAAAGGAGCCAGTTGACCTGTGGAATGTCCCTGCTCGGGGGTAGAGCAACGTGAGGTCCGTTGAAGAGCAGAGGTCAGGATTAAGCGGGGGAAGGGTCCTGATAATTGGTGGGGGGGGCATCTGAGCTCCTTTGTTTTGAACAGCAACGTGGTGAACGTCTGCAGAGTGAGGAGACAACACACAATTAACTTCTCACTGGGACTCTTCTGTCCAATCAGCAGTCGGCCAAACATGTGGCTCAAATGATGGCTCTGTGAACCATACAGTTCATCAGTGATGATGAGGCTAACGAGGAGCTGCAGGAACCAGTGACCAGTTCAGCACTAACGCTGGTTCCATTCAGTCAAAGTACAAAGACCAGAGCCATGAATCTACATGAAAATGCATTGGATTTTAACATTGTTTTCGGCATGACAAAACAATGGTAATTACAATGTTAATTACCATTGTAATTAAATGGACTCACACTGCCTTTAACATCCTATTCATTTTAATTTGAAAAGGAAACCTGGGATAAACAGGAAGTGAGTGTTTGACACAGTTGGAGATTTAACTCTGGACACAAGTGAAAATCAGTCCTAGGTTTAAAGACCAGAGTGGGCCTCCAGAGTGGGCCTCCAGAGTGGGCCTCCAGAGTGGGCCTCCAGAGCGGGAGTGGGCCTCGGGCCTCCAGAGTGGGCCTCCAGAGTGGGCCTCCAGAGTGGGCCTCCAGCCTGGGCTTTGGCCACATCTTCAACTCAGTACATATTTACTCTGAATTTGATCCATGTTGCTGTAGTTTGATTTCACTGATGTAGTTCACTCCACTGAGCCACTGTACCACACACAACGAGAAGGAAAAACAGCGACCCCATGTTTGAGCCACACATGAAGACAGTGGCTCAGTGTGTACTGTGTAAAAGTGCAAAACAAATTCACTAACAGAACAGACTTGGTTTTCCACCCACTGTGATCTGAGGGTTAGTGGACACAGGAAGTGCCTTACAGAAGTGAATCAGATAATAATGATATGAGGAGAGAGCGTCCCCAACACGGCCACAACCCACAGTTTCTATGTCGTCTTAGTTCAGAACTTCAACTCCAGCTCCTGTGTTCCACCTCTTAGCTCCGCCCCTGCAACTCAAGAAAAGTGGAAATTTCCAGTAATTCTTGCTGCTTTGCTCCTCCCCCGTCCTCCTCCCCCGTCCTCCTCACCCTCCTTCTACTTTCCCCCCCCCCCCTCCCCCCTCCCCCCCCCTGCTTGACTAACTGAAGAGG